AGTCTCTAGACATAATAATGCATATATAAAAGAACAGGTTAAAATGGAAACTAAGTGATCAGAGATTGAGAAAGAAATTATAAATAGAATTATCAAAGTGAAACTTTTATTAGAAAGAATAGAAGGTAATATTTTAAAATAGGAGAGAAAAATTAAGAGACACTGATGATTAATCTATATTCTTTTTATTTTCTGTTAAGTTATATTTGGTTCTTGTTCAAATATGTATGTCCAATTTCACACTTTCCTCTTTCATCATAATGTCGTCTTTTCCCTTTTTTCTCTTTTAAACAAACCAATTTTACAATTTCAGAATATTCCACCTCTAGTTCTTTGGGTCTTAATTCCCTATTTGTTGTGAATGTTGACTTCCCTCCTTCCATGCAAGTTCCTTCCTTTTCGCAATTTATACCATTTTATTGTGAGTTGATTAATGTTATGGATTACTGATTTATTTATTAATATGAGAGTTCTCTTATGTCCTGAGCTGTGAAATGATCCCTCAGTGGTTTTGCATATACTTTGACAATAATTTGTGGGTTTTCCCTTGTCTGTGAAACTGAAAACTAAAGGATACCTCATTTAAAATGGAGTGGGGAGGCCAGAAGGGGAGCTCTCATGCCCTACTACTGGTCAACTGTAGACGCCAACAGGAAGGGAGGTATTGTGCTTTCCCAACAGGAAGAAGCCTACTTTACCATTCCAGCGGGAGAAAGGAAGAATTTCTGATTGCCCAGCAATAAGCTCAACCAATACCATGACTCAACCAATGAGAAACTGTCACCACCCTAAACTCTCACTTTCTTCCAATGGACTTCTGTTCAAAGCAGCCCCTCCCAACTTCCTTTTTCTCTATAAAGTAAGGTTCCTCTCCTTTGATCTTTGGACTTCTACCTTTTGCCATACTTTGCGTGTCCCAAATACAATTCCTCTGCTATTCCTGAATAAACTGATTTTGCTGGTAAAATAACTGGCTCTTTTAAGGTCAACAAGTCCAACACCAGTTTTGTGTAAATTTCTAGAAATCATGTGAAGATACAGTTGGATCTCTACCCCCTCTGTGCTGCAACCTTGGGTTTCAGTTCCACTTGAGTGGCTTTCCCCCCCTCAGAGCTCTGGAAAATCGGTATATCAATCCCCAGTCCCTTTACCTCCTCCCTGCCCTCCACTTCATTCTAAAGCTCTAAACTACGCACCCTTGGGCAAGTTCTTTAATATTTCTGAAGTGCATTTCTTCACCTACTTACCTTAAAAATTAGTTTATAAATCAATAAAGAACATAGGAGTAAGATTTTGTCAACTTCTAAGAGTTAATATAAGAAGCCGATTCCCCTTCTTAGCATCCCACAGGCCCTTTTACTTCCTCACACACTCCCTAAGTCACTTGTTCTCCCTGTAAGTTGAGGACCAGAGTTTTACTCTTCTTCAAAGACTTTCTCAAGCATTTCTCCTTCCAGATTTTGATAAAAGACCAACTGACTGTGGTCATCTGATACTGCCTTACAAACACTTCAAAAAACATACTTTCCCAAAATGAAGCCACCCTTCTGTTAAAGTATACTTTATCTGACTAGTTTAGAAAAGCCATGCTGGTCATCTACGTGTGGCAACCTAAAGAGGAAAAGTGTGGTAAGTGGAAGTCTGAAAGGCATTGTCACCCAAACACTAATTAATACAGGCCTATGGTTAGCCCCCGTGAGGTTCCTATGATACCTCTTTCTATCTCTCTGAAGTTCAATGCAGCTCCATACGTATTCCAACAGCCGACTGGGATGGAAGACGAGAACCACAGCCTCATTAAGTCACAGCACAACTGAAGTCACACGTAGCCCAAAGCCTCTCAACAATCACCAACTACTGCTCTCGCCCTTGAGAAGCTCCTGAAAGCTGCAGCTCCCAGAAAGCAAGAGTGAACACAGAAACCAGAGAAGCACAGTTATCACTTTCCTTTCACTATATTGATGAACAAATAATGAGAATCTAGATCTTAATTTCAAGCCATCTTCCCACAATTCACATGTTCTCCTGTACCCCATCCAACACCCTAAGTCTTGTCACTGATTCAAAAATCCCTGCAATAAGCTATAGCGTGCAAATAGTCTTGACTTGTTTTCCCTAGAACCTCCCACCTACGACTCCTGTTAAGTCCCTGCTCAATGGCAAAGTCTAAGCCTTCTCTCCCTGTAGCAGCAAAACTTTCCTTGGGCCTAACTGAGGAATCACGAACCAAGTGACTTTACCTGATCTGAATATGTCATTATTAGGGTACCACCCCTCGGGCGATGGCACCTATTACTGGGGATGCATCCATTTCTCCAGCAGGCTGTTTCTGGAGCACCTAGTTTAAGTCACTTATTTAATTCACATTTTTAAAAAATATTTTATTTATTTATTTGACAGAGACACAGAGAGAGAAAGCACAAGCAGGGGGAGTGGGAGAGGGAAAAGCAGGCTTCCTGCCAAGCAGGGAGCCCGATGCGGGGCTCAATCCCAGGACTCTGGGATCATGACCTGAGCCGAAGGCAGAAGCTTAACTGACTGAGCCACCCAGGGGCCCCTAATTCACTTTTTTTTTGAGGAAAAAAAACCTTTGTGGGAAGAGGTATGTCTATCAATCAAATTAAAATAAAACACTGTCCTATTCTCTCTACTACCTTACCCTGTGGTATTCTGAATTTGGGCAGTGTTTTGATGACAGATGACTAGTCTATGTAAAGAAATTTCAATAGTGTTTTTGAAATGAAAAAAATATGCCATAATTTTCTGTAAAGATATGAGAAGAAAAAGATACGAAAAAGATACAAACTTGCATCTTACAACCCTCCTGTGGTAAGCAACAGCTTCTGCTGCTCTATTCCAACTTCCAGATCAATCCTTCTTGATTTTCTACTTCCTTTTGCACACCTGGATAATGTGCAAACTCTTTATCTTGCCTTAGAAGGCCCTACATGATTTTGCCCCTTTTTAAATGATTATCTTGCTAAACTTATCTCTCACTGAGATGCTTTGTTAACCAACCAGGCTAGTCTCCTTCCTGTCCTTCAAACAATTTTTATTTTCTGCCACCACACCCTTGCTCATACCATTCCTTCCGATCTGAAATGCCCTCCCCAAAAACCATACTAATCAGAACACTGGTTATTCTTTATGAAAAAGTTCAACTTCTATCCCCTCCATGAAGTCAGAGCTGAAAATGATTATTCCCTCCCTCTAGTCACTTACAGATCTGTTTTTCCCTGACCACAGAATAAGCTCGTAATGGAAGAACTGTATCTGTACTTCTTTGCATCCTCACAGTCCCCAGTACAGGTAACTACACATAGTAAGTGTTCTTTAAACGTATTTATTCAATGAACGCATACATACTTTCACACCTGCAGAGCAACATCACACTAGAAACAAATCATACTAACCATTTTTACCAAGGCAAATAAAAACAGGTTTAAAATGTCATTAAAATGTCATTCTGATTTGCCTCAGGTACACAGGTATACTCAAAACCTGTTAAGTAAGGAAGAACCAAACTCACCCACCAAGTCAGAGAACTATGCAGACACTTGATATTATTTCTACATAGTAAAGAAAAAATCATTTTTTATCAAAGTAAAAAAATAGCTTAATCAGCATAAAATCACAATGTGACATGCGAAGTTAGAGCAATGTCAAGAAGGAGTTTTTTGTGGGTTTTTTTGGGTTTTGTTTTGTTTCGTTTTGTTTGAGAAGGAGTTTTTTTGTTGTTTTGTTTTGTTTTTTTAAGATTTTATTTATTTATTTGCGAGAGAGACAATGAGAGACAGAGAGCATGAGAGGGAGGAGGGTCAGAGGGAGAAGCAGACTCCCCGCCGAGCAGGGAGCCCGATGCGGGACTTGATCCTGGGACTCCAGGATCATGACCTGAGCCGAAGGCAGTCGCCTAACCAACTGAGCCACCCAGGTGCCCCTGAGAAGGAGTTTTAAATAGTCTTGGTTGAATCAGTACTTCCTGTCTGAGAAATAGTGAATAATGATTAAGTGCCCCAAACCTCAAGCCCAGAATAGTTAAATATTTATGCTGAATGATAAATAGCAAATTGGGGCACTCTAATAAAAGCAGAAAGATTTTTAAAAAATAATCAAGCTGGTTTATACTTCATTAAGAGTCCTCAACTAATGAAATATCTAATAAGTATTCATGATTAGGGCAAAAGAAATTCTTAAATGGCTGCAGAAACACTACATTCTTGCTATCCCCAAATATTATGAGGTCCATCACATATTCCTATCTAACATAGAAGTCCAAAATGCAGTTATTATTTGATTTTTTTTCAACTGAACAACAACTACATTAGGTCAGATTCCTTGTCTACCCATAACAAAAATCAGCGTCAGACAGTGACAGAATCGAGGAGAGCCAGGACTGTACTTAAAACGTCAGGGACATGGTGGTGATGATGATGATGATGATTACAATAAATAACATCAGCAAACACTTTTATAGCACTTATTACATGCCGCATTTGGCTCTAAGATCTTTATATATGTCAATTTATTTAAAACCTTAAGAGAACTCCGAGACATGTGTAACTGCTTTATTTATAACCTGTCTAATCCCATTTACAGATGACAGCACTGAGGCACAAACAGATTAGCCTACTCACATCACAAACTTCATAAACTACAAGACCAGAATTCAAATGCAGGAAGTCTAGCTCCAGAGCCCAGGCTCCTAAGCACATGCAGTATCCCTTTCCTAGCTAACTCCCAAAACACACTAATATCCCCTTTATCACCTACTGAGTACTTCTCCACCCTCACTGCTGCCTTCCTCCTCTTTGAAACCTGCTCACTTTAATTCTTCTTCAAAACAAACTTCCTAAGAAATACTGGACGTGATTCTTATAGCCAGTTCTGGGTAATTTCAAATCAGTTCTTGGTTTGAAGAATTCTCAGCTTCTGAGATACGAAAGTTCAGTAGCACTTCACATCTGTTACCTGAAGGAAGAGGGTCAGGAAACACTTACTAGTATCTGGAGGTTTCTCTTCAGATCTGCCAAATAAAAACTCATATTTGGCCTTGGCAACACTCTGGGAATGCGCTGAGGCATTGTTAACCCAAACAAATGTCTCTGCCTGCAAAATTAAAACATAACAAAGACATCATTTAAAACATATCATAAAAAATACACCATAAAGCAAACCAACCACAAGAGAATGGTTAGAATGACATATCCACCTGACAAAATGCTACACAGCCATTAAAAATGAAACATGAAAAATATAACACAACAAAAAGCAAAATACAAGATGATCACTGCAAGATTACAATTACATAGAAAAAAAAAAACATACATCTATAGGGGAATAAGAAAAATATGAAAACTTTGACTTGATGGGAGGGCAGAACTGTGGTACAGTATCTTTTTTAAATTATAGTTGACATAGAACATATTAGTTTCAGGTATACAACACAGTGATACAAAATGCTCACTATGATAAATGTATTTACCACCTGTCATCATACAAAGTTATTCCAACAGTATTGACTATATTCCCTACACTGTAATTTTCATCCCCATGACTTATTTTAAACTGGAAGTTTGACCTCTTAATCCCCTTCACCTATTTAGCCCATCCTCCCACCCCTCTAGCAACCACCAGTTTGTTCTCTGCATTTATGTTCTCTGCACTTATCTCTATTTCTGGGTATATTTGTTTGTTTGTTCACTGATTTTGTTTTTTAGATTCTACATATAAGTGAAATCATATGGCATTTGTCTTTGACTTATTTCACTTAGCGTAATACACTCTAGGTCCATCCATGTTGTTGTAAATGGCAAACTTTCCATCCTTTTTATGGCTATTATTCCATTGTACATATATACCACGTCTTATTAATCCATTCATCTGTGGATGGGTACTTGGCTTGCTTCCATATCTTAGCTATTAGAAGTAACACTGCAATAAACATAGGGGTGCATATATCTTTTCAAATTAACATTTTTGTTTTCTTCTTCCAGAGCAGAATTCCTGGATTACACAGTACTTCTATTTTTAATTTTTTGAGGAACCTCCATACTGTTTTCCATAGTCGTTGCACTAATTTACATCCCCACCAACAGTGCATGAGGGTTCCCTTTTCTCTACATCCTCAGTAACACTGTTATTTCTTGTCTTTTTTATAATAGTCATTAGCCATTCTGTCTGTGGGAGGTGATGTCTCATTGTGATTATAATTTGCATTTCTCTGATGATGAGTGATGTTGAACATCTTTTCATGTGTCTCTTAGCCATCTGTATGTCTTCTTTTGGAAGAACGTCTATTCGGGTGCTTTGCCCAATTTTTAATCAATTATTTGGGGGTTTTTGGAGTTGCGTTCTATGAGTTCTTCATATATTTTGGAATATTAACCCCTTATCAGAGATATCATTTGCAAATATCTTCTCCCATTCAGTAGGTTTCCTTTTTGTTTTGTTGACAGTTTCTTTTGCTGTGCAGAAGTTTTTTAGTTTGCTGTCCCAATAGTTGAGTTTTTGCTTTTGTTTCCCTTGCCTGAGGAGACAGATCCAGAAAAATATTGCTAAGGGCACTGTCCAAGAGCTGACTGCCTATGTTTTCTTTTAGGAGTTTTTTGGTTCCAGGTCATACATTTTCGTCTTCTATCCATTTTGAGTTTATTTTTGTGTATGGTGTAAGAAAGTGGTCTGGTTTCATTCTTTTGCATGTTGTTGTCCAGTTTTCCCAAAACTATTTACTAAAGAGATGGTCTTTTTCCCAGTGTACATTCTTGCCTCCTTTGTCATAGATTTGTTGACCATATAAGTGTGGATTTTTTTCTGGGCTATCTATCCTGTGCAATTGATCTACATGTCTATTTTTGTGCCAGGACCATACTGTTTTGAGTACTATAGCTTTGCAGTGTATTCTGAAATCTGCGGCTGTGATACCTCCAACTTTGTGCTTCTTTCTCAAGATTGCTGCCATTCAGGGTCCTTTATGGTTCCATATAAATTTTAGGATTGCTTGTTCTGGTTCTGTGAAAAGTACTATTGGTATTTTGATAGGGACTGCATTGAATCTGTAGACTGTTTTAGGTTAGTATGGACATTTTAACAACATTAATTCTCACAGTCCATAAGTATGGTCTATCTTTCCATTTATTTGTGTCATCTTCAATTTCTTTCATCAATGTCTTATAGGTTTTCAGAGTACAGGTCTTTCACCTCCTTGGTTAAATTTATTCCTAAGTATTTTATTCTTTTTGATGTTATTGTAAATAGGACTGTTTTCCTAATTTCTCTTGCTGCTAGTTCATTATTACCATGTATATTAATTTTGTATCCTGCAACTTTCCTGAATTCATTTATCAGTTCTAATAGTTTTTTAGTGGGCTCTTTAGGTTTTCTCCATATAATACCATGTCATCTGCAAACAGTAACAGTTCTACTTCTTCCTTACCAATTTGGATGTCTTTTATTTTTTTTCTGGACTGAATGCTGCAGCTAAGACTTCTAGTACTATGTTGAATAAAAGTGGCGAGAGCTGACATCCTTGTCTTGTTCCTAGTCTTAGAGAAAAAGCTTTTGGCTTTTCACCATTGAGTATGATGTTAGCTGGGGGTTGCTGGAATTTTTTAAATTAAATTTATGTTACTTTTCTGCAATTAGAAAACTGTATTTTATTTTTAGATGTATCACTTTCCAAATGATTATCATTACCTCACAGCACAGAGTAAGAATATTTGTGCATAGGTTCTACTAAAATATGCCAACAAAAAGTAGTCTTTCCCCAAAAGAGACCATACTTTTTATATAATCAGGAACACCATTCAGCCAAAGAGGGCGCACAGAGTAGAAGTGCCAGTCATCCCATTTATACTAATTGTCCTAAATTTAAGCATATGTCCCAGTGTTCTTTGGAATTCCTTAAAGTCCCCTATTTGAAAGAAAAGCTACAAAAGTAACTGTGAAAGGAGTTCACATCATGATTCGGAATTCCTATGACCTTCTTCCTGGCGAGTGCCTCCCTTCTCTGGCCTAGGATTAATTAAAATAAAAAATAAGTAACAGGCAGAAATTGGAAAACACAGAGAAATCTGACCTAGTTCAATCAAACAGCCATTCTTCTGCCACTTTACCTTGAACTCAAAAATCAACCAGGATCCAGACATTGCCCTCACTGGTTTCCACCCTCTAATTATGAGACATCTTCTTTTCTCATGTCTGAGGAGCAAACCTGACCATTCACTTTGAGAGAAAAACACAAAGGGTTTTATCAGCAACCAAGCAACTACTTCAAAGAGGGAAATCTTATGATTTCTAGTATATTCTTTGGAACAGAAATGATTGACAGTAGTGAGAAGACCCATGATGGGGTTATGATTAACTCCATCACCCTACTGCAGACCAGTTCAACGGGCAGGCTTCTCTTTGTTCTTTAATACCAATATCAAAGAGTTAGCCTGTACAATTTTGAGATAACAATTTATTTCTAAAAATAGCTCTACAATCACTTAATGTTCATAATGTGTAATATTTATATTTATGGTAAAGGTGCACACTCCTCTTGGAGTTACATGCTTGATAATCGCAGGCTGTTGATCAACGTTTTCCCCATAACAGAGGAAACATCAACGTTTTGATGTGTTTAGGGAGCTTCAGACTGGTAGAAGAGGAACGCAGTGCCCTAATTTAGGTAGAGTGGTTACGGAAGGCTCTCTGAGGAACTAATACTTGCAAAGATGAGAAGGAGGAGAGGCTCAGGAGGGACAAAAACCCCCATCATCTAAGCAGAGGGAGGGTCATACACAATGGCCTTAAAGCATGAAAGGATTAGGCTTTTCAAATGATTGAAAAGCCCATGTGGCCACAGAATAGTGGGTAAATGGGAAACTATAGAGACTGACCAGGAAAATAACACAGCAGAAAGTAACACTGTAGACCAGACAGGGGCCAAACATACAAGGTGTGTAAGTCAAGGAAAGGTTTAATGGGAAGCAAGTGGAGGGTTTGAAATACACGGTGATCACTAACATTTTTTAAAGGTCATCCATTTAAACTTTTAAAAGAGCAAATGATTGTTATAGGAAAATGGATTGAAATGAGTCAAGAGGAAGCAGACACCAGTTAGGAGCCCAAGCTAGAGAGTATGGAAGCTTAGAGTAGAACAATGGCAATAAAAATAGGCAGAAGTAGATGAATTTTAAATATATTTTGTAGGGAGGATCTACACAAACTTTCTGATAAATTGGGTTTCAGGAATGAGAGACAGGGAGAAATCAGGGATAATTATAATGAATCACATTTACTAACCACTTAGTCCCAGCAAATCACTGCTCTAATGCAGCAGAGAAACTTAGCATGTCTGACTCCATATTGCTTCTACTTCCATTGGTACTGTGACTTACAGCTTAGAAACTTCTGCTTACCCCTGCACACAGGCATGTTACAGCTAAGATTTGCAAAAACTGTTTTCTATCCAAAATCTACCTCACCCAGGGAAATAAGGAAGTATGTACAAAATGACTCTGCTATGTTCAAGATTTACAGAATGACATGACCAGATTCCTGTATGCAAAGATCAACTGACCCAAGGACAAAGTTACACAGCCTTCTTCAGATGTTTACAGACGTCAGTCACCTTTTGACTCCAACCCTCTCCTACTTCCCCCTCTTCCTAACATAAAAGAATCTCAAATCTCATGCCTGGGGAGATGGTTCTTTGGGACAATACTCCTAATCCACCATCAGTTTGCTGGCTTTCTAAATAAAATCGCTTTCCTTGCCCCAACATCTTGCCCTTGACTTACTGCTCTATCATGTGGCCAGTGGACAAACTTGGACTTTGTCACACTAATGCAATACATGGGATATCTCACTTTACACTCAGAACAATCATACGAGGCGGGCACTACTATCATCCCAGTCTCATATGTAGAGAAAGAAGCAATGAGTGGGTAACATGTCCAAGGTTATAAAGCCAATAAATTACAGATTCAATTCTGAATCCAGAACCCATGACCCAGGGAATGACTCCCAGGAATCTGGCCTGAGCATCTGGCTGCGTGCATTGAGACAGGGGAGACTAGAGAAGGAACATTATCAATAGCGTGGATGTGGGCTTCCAGGTGACC